GAAAACGTACAATTATCCCCCACAAACAGTATCCTATCTTCCAAATCAGTAACCTCAACCCACTTCTGCATATCTCCATCCAGCTTATAAACTTTAAACTTAACTGTCCTTTCACTCATGTAACAATCAAATTCCTCATAAAACTCAACATTCTCATTATATCCAAGATCATCTTCTGGACCAATACTCAAATACTTATCAACCATCAACAATTCGCCACACGACTCCACAAGAAATTTCTTATCCCCACCAAACACAGACTGACCAACAATGGTCAATTCCGGCGCTGACCCATCACTCAACTTAACAAGCACTCCCTTCCCAGTATTATCAACAGCATAAAAGTTCCCATCTTTAAGAATAACATCATCGTACGGCAATGATGAGTCATCAACAATAGACCACTTCGTATCACCAGATCTATACATTACCAATTTCCCAGAAACATGAATTGTCAGTAACAAAAACCCATCTTCTTCCAAACGAACAGCAACTTTTTCCATGTAAAGATTCCCCGCATCCGCAATTGAATTAGCCCTAGGTCGGTACTTTATAAACTGAAGAGTATACTCCTGGCCTAATTCAAGAATTGGGTATTGCGAGGAATCCAAATTTTTTGGAAAATTGGAAGGAAGAGGTTTGAATTGGGATCTGGAAAGAGGATTAAGCAAACGCATACGTTGAGGATTTTCCCTATCCAGTTTAATGATCCATCCACCGTGGTTACTATCAGACGACGTCGTTTCAGTTGGGGGAGTGATGAGGTAGAGGGGTGTTTTGGTAAGTTTAAAACCCCAGCTGTTTTCAGCGATGCCGTTATTAGGGAGAATGGGGAAACGAGAAGGGGAATTCGGGTAGGGTTTAGGAGGAACGGAGGAACGCCAGGAAGAGCAAACGGAACGGAAACGGAGGAAATCGATTTCAGAAGAGAGGTGTTTGGAGATGAGGTCTACGAGTTCTCGGGGGAGTTGAGACCATTCTGCCATTAGAATAGTAGATTGATTGATGGATTCTTGAATGGGAGAATAGAGAGAGATTTGTACGTACTATTTATAGTAATTTGAAGGGGATGCAAATCTGAGAAGATACTTCCTGGAAATAACTTCTGCCATTGACACATGCACGAGTGTACAAGGTTGTTTCGGGCCTAGTATATAAACCATTTTGGGCCAGCCACAGCAAACTTCACAAATAGCCACTTTTATGTCTGCTGTTTGCAAATAAGCCATAATTACAAAACTAATGAAAATTAGCCCATTTTTATAAGAAAATAATTATATATATATAAAGGAGGGACATGAGAGAGGTGACGTGGCATCTCTATAGTGTAGGAATCCTTTTTATCTTTTTTTTTTCTCATTTTTTTGACATTTTCCTTTCAATTTTTTCATTTTAATTATTTTAAAATTTTCACACCATAATGCCATAACTCACTCACACCTCTTCATTGGGGGTTATAACTTTTCAAGTCCATAACCTCCATTTATTTATTATGCTATGTTATTAATAACCTTGTCCCTCTGTTCCTCTTCTTGCTCGCACCTGACCGTTACTTATGTAACCTCCCATTTCATTCATAAAGCTTTGTATTATTCATACATTCAGTAGTAATATAAAGTTGGTTGCACAAAGCACTTTTTATTTTTGTGAAAATTTACTACTCCGGTTAAGATTTTAAATAGTATTTATATTATTTTGGTCTATTTACTTATAACTCATTTTGAATATGCAGTTATGCTCCTGTTCCTCGGAAACTACATCCAGGTTCGTATTTTTGTGAATTAAATTTGAAAATTTGACTTTCTTATGTTTGTTATCTTATGATCATCTTATAGTTCTGTGTTAATTATAGCTTAGTGCTTTGAAGTGGAATCCAAAGAGCAAGGTGGGAAGTTCTTGGAGGGAAGGATGTCAGGGGTCTATTTGGAAACAATCTCTCTACCTTAGGGTAGGGGTAAGGTCTGCGTACACACTACCCTCCCCAGACCCCACTAAGTGGGATTATACTGGGTTGTTGTTGTTGTTAGTGTTGCTTTAAAGTGGAATCCATCTTTCTTAGAGGAGAAAAGAGATGGCTCATATCAAGAATCTGGTCACCAAATTTGGAACTCAACATTAACAAAGGCTGCAGTGTTGTGGCTACCTAACCAAAAATAAAAGGTTAGTTCAAATTGTATTTTTTATATTATTTATCAAATTAAATTATAGAATAACGTGAACCACTTGTAATTTATGGGTAGATGTAAGGACGGTGACAAGAGCTATAAAATCCAGTATGATGTGCCAAGACTTGGGAATAAGGATGCGAAGACAAGGTGAAAGATAAAATTTTGAGTAAACAAGGAAGAGTAAGAGCGAAACAATCAAATCATGAGTTTTGGTTATCAAAATGTCAGCCGCATTCAGTGTTGTAAAATTCTAAAATAATGAAAAAATTGTCTGAATCCTTGTGAAAGAATTTGTAACTCTGCAACTCTGTTTTTAGTTTGGTTTTTCCTTTTTTTTTAATCAGAAAGGAAGATTATTTATTCGTGACTAAGAATTAAAAAACATAGTCCAAAGGAGTATTAAGGTAAGGGTTAATAATATGTGCTTTTACCATTTAATAAGAGGAACAATATAAATACCTACATTTATATAGTACACTTAGAGAATCGCGCATTATCGACCACTATATAAAGCTGAAAATTTTCCTTTAAAGTTCTTTTCTGTTTTTTCCTTTCATTTTCAAAGAATTTTTTATAATGAAATCAGGTTACCTAAGCTCTAATCCTAACAAAAATATTTTAATTTGTAATATCACCAAGACATGACTTTTTAATTATATGGCTATACATAAAAAATTCTCTTCTATATGGTTTAACTTTTTGAAAACTAGACACCAAGATCTAGAACTTTCATGTTCTTGTCATCTCCCAATTCCTTATAGATTTCTAGATATAAGCCTCCAAAGTCAGCCTCGTACAACACAAATTTCTTCTTCATCTTCCCGGACAGCCTATAGTATACCAGCCATAACTTTTGGTATACAAATCAAAATGCTAAACGGTTTACTTTTCTGAAAACTAGATACAAAGAACTACAACTTTCATATTTTGATTATTTCCAAATTCTTTATAGATTGTGAGATATGAGCCTCCGAAATCAGACATGCGCAACAGAGATTTTCTTCTTCGCGAACGCGAAGGACAAAATCCTTGAAGCCCAAATCTTCTTCGCGAACGCGAAGAACAACACCAGACACCAGCAACAACTATAGCAAAACAACCCGAAATGATCTGAAACCATCTCGAAACACACTTGAGGCCCCCGGGACCCTATCTAGTCACACCAAACCGTCCCATAACATGACACAAACCTTCTCGAGGCCTCAAATCACATCAAACAACATCGAAATCGTGAATCATACTCCAATTCAAGTTTAATGAACTTTAGAATTTCAAACTTCTACATTCGATGTCGAAACCTATCAAATCACGTCCGATTGACCTCAAATTTTGCACACAAGTTATATTTGACATTACAGACCTACTCCAACTTTCGGATTTGGATTCTGACCCCGATATCAAAAAGTCCACTTCCGATCAAACTCCTAAAAAACCTTCAAATTTCTAACTTTAGCTAAATGACTCCAAAATGACCCACAGACTTTCGAATTCACTTCCGATCGCGCTCCGAACACCAGAATCACCATATGGAGCTATTACCAGACTCAGAATCCCAAACAGACATTGATAACACTGAAATGCACTTCAACCCAAACTTATGAAATTCTTTAAAAAATGCCAACTTCCACAATAGGTGCCGAAACGTTTCCGGGTCTTCCAAAACTCGATCCGGACATACGCCCAAGTCCGAAATCATCATACGAACCTGTTGGAACCTTCGAATCCCGATTCCAAGGTCGTTTACTCAAAAATCCAATCTTAGTCAATTCTTTCACCTTAAAACTTCTGAATTGAGAATTTTCTTTCTAAATCAACTCCGAACTTCCCCGAAATTAAATTCCAACCATGCGTACAAGTCATAATGCCTAAAGTGAAGCTGCTCATGGCCTCAAACCGCCGAAGAACGCACTAAAGCTCAAAACGATCAGTCGGGTCGTTACAATAACCACAATAATGACGATTATAATTTCGTCTATTGCCACGTCCACATCCATTGATACATTCATGGTAATAATTTTATCTTCTTTCAAGCATATTGCTATCATATTCTCTTAATGGAATGAGAATGAAGCAAATTCAATGGGACGGGTTTCCACTTCTTGTGCCCATGATCATACATGAATTTTATCATGGCGAGGCATAGAAAGTTTACCATTTCACGTGGTTATAATTTCTTACAAACTCTATTATAGTTGTAATCAAATTTTATTGTCTTTGCTTGTATTTAAAATTAAATTAAAGAATTTTAAGAATTTAAAAGAGAAAAATAAGGTAAAATACTTACTTTAAATCCATAATTTATTGGTGAAGGAAGTTTATGGAACAATTGACAATTATTATGCTCAATATTATTTATAAGTTGAGCACCATGCATGTAACCCAGAGCCTCAACTCAATTGGTTGGAGTCTCGTACTTATAACATGTTATGAAACAATAACAGAAGAACAGTATTGCAGAGAAAAGTAGAGAGACAATTCTTATTGATTTGGGATCAATTACAATAGAATAGAACATCTCTATTTACAGGGGAAAAATGATTTAACCACTAAGTAACAAACCCTAGAATCTCTCTAGAATATAGACATTCACCTTAAATACAATTCTATTTATAACACAAATCTAATTTTCACACGACCCTTAATAAACTACTCCCTCCGGTTCACAATAAATGACTATTTTAAATTTTTATTTTGGTCCAAAATAAGTGTCTATTTACATAATCAAGAAGGAATTAATTTTATTTTATTTTTTCAAATTTTGCCTTTATTTACATATTCCAAATTATCAAGGTAACAATTAATTTAGGTTAATTGAGTGAATACATCTTTTTTTTCTTTAAGACTTCGTATTTTCTTAATGGGCATACCAAATGTAAAATGATCACTTATTGTGGACCGGAGGTAGTAAATAGTGCCAATCATAAGCAAGTAGATTGAATTGAAAATCCGTAAAACTAACAAATATTGAAAAGCTTCGAAGTTTTGAATATAATATTGAATTTTGTAAAATTATTATTTGTTTGGATTGGGTGTTTTTGTAAATGGTTGAGAATGTTCTTTTGGAGTTTCTATCTGATTTTTAAGAAAATTTGGTGAAGATTCAAAGTGGTTTTAATTGAAATTTCATATTGAAACTCGAATAAGAAGATACGAATAAATTGTATATATTTTAAATGTTAGGTGTACAAATGGCATACAAAATATATACAACTAACATAATTGTATACAAGTTGTATATAAATTTTATGTAATTGGTGACTTTTTTTTACCAGATTTGCAAAAAATATTGTATTCAAGTTGTATATAAATTGTAAATTTTGACCGAATTTATATATATTTTGCAAAAAATTTTAGTTACTTTTTGTAAATAGAAAAACTTAGTAGGTGTTTGGACATGAAGTCCATTTTTTTTTTGTTCAAATTTGGAATTTCACTAAAGTTTGAGTTGAAGATGAAGTTGTGTTTGGTTATAATTTTTGGAGCATATTTGGATGTCTTTTTTTTTAACATATTTTGCAACTTAAAACTAGCAACCTTCTCATTTTTAAGTGACAACAATAATAACAACATACCCAGTAATATCCCACACCGTAGAGTCTAGCATGTATGTAGACCTTACCCCTACCTTGCATTTTCAAGTGAGATTGGAAAAATTGTAAGATTTTGATAACCAAATACTGTTTTCAAAAAGAAAATTTGAAAAAAGGAAAATTTCTCATGTCTAAACGGGCTCTTAGGTAAACCGGGTAAATAAATTTAAATTTCCGTATATATAAGAAAAAAATTCCTTTTAAATTGAAATATCATTGTCCAAATTTTAATTCACATAAAGAATGACTAGTTTTTTAATTATTTAACAAATATTGGCTATTTTCCAATTATACACCCAAAAAGTGGCCAACTAGTGCCATGTTTATGGACATTTGGTCAACGGTTGGGTGTTTAAGAAATCCTAGTTACTTAAATTTCATTGACATTCTTTTTCTCTGTATTTTCTTCCTGAAAGAAACGAGAAAAAGACAACAACAACTACACAACAATAACAATTCAGTATAATCCTACTTAGTGGGTCTGGGGAGGCTAGTATGTACGCAGACCTTACCCGTACCCTAAGATAGAGAGGCTGTTTCCAAATAGACCCCCGACATCCTTCCCTCCAAGAACTTCTCACCTTGCTCTTGAGGAGATTCGAACTCACAACCTCTTGGTCACGTACGATAATAAGAAATAAAAAGTTACTATAAAATATACTTTTAAAAGCATATTACGAGCAAGATTCACACTATTATTACCTTCGGGTACAATTGCAAGAGCGTCTCTTTTGTTGCTTAAGCCCCATAAACCTGCAAAACCCATTTTGCTTACCTCCTCCAAGAAACTTTCAATACTATTATTACTGTTATTCCAATATTATAAAACTGTATATCAATGAAGAACGCAGACCCTAAGAATCCCACCACTCAGCAAATTTTTGGAACAGTTATAAATGAAGATGATGCCTCCCACTTAGTCGGCGGCATAGTTGAAAAGGGGTTTTCAGAACAACCATTAAACGGGCCTACTAGTTGGACTTTTGCCCCTCGCCCCACTGTTCTTCCTTTTCCTGTGCCTCGTCACCGCTCACATGGTCCGGTAAGCCCCTCCTCTTTGTTAATCACTTAATCTGTAGCTATTCTGCGTCCATTTTGATTAACTAGTTTAATTTCAGCTCCCACTTTGGCAAAGATTTGATCTTTATTGTCATTACAACAACTAAGCCTCAGTCACAAACAAGTTAGGGTCGGCTTTATGAACCCTATTGACCATGTTTCTCCATTTAAATTCTATCTCTAGCCAACATTATACAAAATAAAAATAAAAAGTACTAGTAGAAGTTTTCTATATTTTCTATTGGCATAAAAATCTCTTATAGGGCTAAAAGACACCTAGTAAGCTCTAGACCTGAAGTTAATGTACTAACAAGACTAAGACGTATTACCAACTAACTAGAATCGTCCATATAGAGATAATAGAGGTACAAATATGGACTAGCTAAGGAATAGAATTAGACATTGAGTGTGTTACATACTCATCTGCATTAATGGAAGTATGTGCTTTTTTTTTTGGCTACGAGGAAGTATATGCTTAAGTTTGGCACGTCATAGTATAAATTAACTGCTTATTTTTTAAAGTCATGTATAGAAGGAAGAATGAGCTTTTTGGTTATCTCAGTGTATTTAGGAACCTGACTTGTTACTTGAACTGATATGTGCATCTATCCCCATATTTGTATAGCACTGGGCACCAAAGGTTGGAGATGTTTGTGGTAACAATGATCACGATGATGAAGAGAATGAAGAGGAAGAAGAAGATTTCACTGGAATCAACCAGATTGGAAATTTTGCTAAGCCCGTGCAAAGAAAAGAGAAGAAAGGGATGGATTTTCGTAACTGGCGGGAGATAGTGGCTAGTGATAATAGTTCTGTGCCATACAAGAGGGAAGAAAGGGAGCGCAAGGTGAATTCGACATCAAAAGAGCGAAAGGCTGTTGCAGAAGCATCTCGAAACAAAAACAACTCAAATGAACGTCCACCAGATGAAAATGGAAATGGTGCTAGTTTATCTGTAGAAGATGGTACAAAATCTCAGGATGTCATCATGGAGGATGAGCATCTGGTTCAAGAGAAAGAGCATCTGGACATGGCCATGGGTATCGAACAGGGAGGTGTGGAACAAAGTAACCATTCTGTTTTACCACAGCAGAAATGTGGAAATGGTATCACTGAACAGGAGGAAGAAATAATTGAGGATATGCATCCTACCTTACAGGTTAACTCTCAGAAACGTAACATTTCTGCAAACAAAGTCGATGCTAGCTTTGACCCCAAGGAAGTGGAAGGAAGGCACAATGCTAGTAATCTTGAGAGTCAAATTGATGCTGAGAATCGAGCTCAATTAGCGAGAATGTCAGCTGATGAAATTGCTGAAGCACAGGCTGAATTATTGGCAAAACTAAGTCCAGCAGTTTTGGAGGCACTGAAAAGGAAAGGCCAAGAGAAGTTGAAAAGAGAAAAATCTTATAGATCCAGGTCTCATCTCAGTGGAGAAAAGGGTAATTTGCTGGATCAGATGAAGAATGAAACCTCACAAGGCACACAGAAAAAAAATGTGGAAGATGATACTCCAAAGTTGAACACCAATACCAGTGTATGGGATGAATGGAGTAAACGAGTTGAGAGTGTCCGAGAATTAAGATTTTCTTTGGATGGCAATATTGTGAAGAGTGAACTTGAGGTCCCAAAGAGTGGTAAGCCTAAGTTTGTTTATACCTTCGAAGCTAATACTATTTGGTACTGCATGTTCATTCTTTGTTATTTCCTTCTAGTGTATGTCTGCATGATCCATCTGAGGAAGAAATAAATTTACCAAGCATCATAAGTGAGCACTGGAAATCACGAGTTTAGTGGCAGGCTCCTGTACTTAAGCTGGTCGAAACAGTCAAAGATGAATAGGTAGATCAATCTTATGTCTAATATGAGTTACATTTATGTGGTTGGCGCAGTTGCATCAGCTAATCCTATTGAAGAAGTTCCGGTTCATATGTTCATGTGTATTCCTTTCCTAATCCCAGTTTGCAGCAAGGATTAGTGTGGATGACCTCTCTGGTACATTTGAGGAAACACTTCGTGCGCACATGGATCACTTTGTCATATAACCAATAGAAACCAAGATAGTTCATTCCCAAGAGGGGTAGGAGTTCTTCAAGTCTTCATTAAGTGCAGATATGCCCGGACTATCTTCATGGTGGATACCACTTTGTTGTAGTGCTATCTTAATATTCTTTTAGTAAAAGTCATTTCTTCGTACTGCTGGGGAATATCCAACTTCCTTTTCCAGATCAGTTTTGTCTGCTTTCAGTGCTCGTCAAGGTGTCAAATATTCTTTTGCAGGAAATTTTTTCCAGTTTAACATGTCTCATCGGGGTTGATTTTATGTGGTGACTGAAGATAGACTGTCTATTCTACGTTTTGGATCGGACACACTTTAATTTCTTTAGGTACTGTAGAATTTGATGGTATCTGCATATATTGAGACTTGCCAGGTATCGACTGATGTTTTTGTTCGAGGGAGGACACTGGACAGTGTTTCTCATGTCAACTGTCAAAGTTAAGAACTGACCTTGTGTATTCATACCCCAACTACACAGATGTATCAAGGAAAAAAATTAAAAGAACTGGTGCCTATTTCCAGCCTGGTAGCTAAGAACTGGCCTTGCCTTGTTCGCAAATATTGGACCTATAGATTTATCTACATAGTGTTTGCCTCGCAGGTGTCTCCGTTGCGCAAGATCTCTCTGGGCGCGACTATCTACGAACTGAAGGTGATCCTGGCGCGGCTGGTTACACCATCAAAGAAGCAGTCGCTCTCACAAGAAGTGCAGTTAGTATATTTAAATTTGAATCTTTTGGATGTTTAATATCATTTTTTTTGTGTCTGCATGTCCATGTTAGTCTAATTGCGTGTTTTAAGTTTTTGAGTTCCTTGGCTACAGGTAGCTGGACAACGAACATTTGCTTTACATCTTATTGCATCTGTGCTTGATAGAGCAATATGCAGAATTCACCAGAATCAGCTGGGGTGTATCTTAAGATCTCAGGACAGAGATGGATTTAATGACTGGGAGGCCATTTGGGCTTTCATACTAGGGCCAGAACCTGAGCTTGCTCTATCATTGAGGTAGATTTAAGTGCTTCCTCTTTGTTTTACTTGGCCGCCTCTTGCTTGTGATATGCTAAATAATGGCCTCTGTATGAGATAGTGCCATGCTTGTTCATTCCCCTGAATTAGATATTATGCTTTTTTCCCCAAAATAGTTCTCAAGATGTAATGCCCTTGTTTTTTGGTTTGGAGACATCATTGATATTGTTGTTGTTGTTGTTGTCCATGCATACCCAATTATTCATTTTTTCCCCTCCATTTGTTGGTAATCTTCTTTGTTTTTAGCATTGCTTTCACTTGTTTCTTTTGAGCCTCCACTTGGAATGGGGAGTAGGAAGGCTGTTGTGGTGGAAGGGCAAGAACAACCTGTTTTTGAAGGAAAAACAATCATACGAAGTGTTAATCTTTTTCCTAGGTCAAAGGCAAAAACCTTTGGGTTATTCGATTTTGTTAACTCCTCAACATTATTTGAAAAAAGGCTAAAAAAGAATATAGTGGGAAAATAGGTGGAAATTGTGGAAAACTGTCGAGAAAAGGGGGGAAGTTGGTAAAATCTATTAACAGTGTAAAGTTGATTGCAGAACTTGCAAGTAACAGAATTACATCCTACAGTTTCTGTTTTTGGTGTGGCTCCTTGTAGAATCTCAGAACCAAATTAGCCCTTTAAAAATCCTTTTTTCTGGATGGGCATTGTTATACATAGGCCCGTCTAAAAATGATTGGGTGGTCGGCAGGTCAGCTGATGGTAAATGCTCTACCTAGCATTCTGAGAAGTTCATGGTTCATGTTGAGATTCAATGTCGCGGACTCATGGATTTATTACTACAGAAGAATCTGAGATTTACTCTACTTTACACAGTGAATTTCTTGCGTATCCACCCTGAAATAAATAAAAAGAGTAGAGATTTACTCTGGTCCCCTTACTGCTGTGCAATCTAAACTACTCACCTTAGCAGTTGGCTCAAAACCTTGGGTTCATAGACAAATATACATCTACACCAGAATGATTTTGGTTTGTGTTCAAAGAAGTAAAGTTGATTGTGTTTGCCTTTTTTTTCACATTATAGTTGAAGGGTATGAACTAGGAATAGCTGGATGACCCTCTACTTGTATAGAAGATTGGGCGTCATTTGTAGAGAATCATATTCTGATGTAAATTCTCTACTTTTTGGTATACTTCTTGTATACGGGAGTTTTCTCCCTTTTGA